AAAGGAAGGGTAAGACCACCTTTTGTTTTCTTTTGCATGCAGGAAGGAACTCAGTAACCGCAGATGAGGAGAAGGCAGAGGTGCCCAATGCCTTCTTTACCTCGGCCTTTAGTGGGAACACAGCTTGTCCTCAGGACAAGTGTCCTCCTGGGTTGGTAGACAGAGGATAACAGATACTTTAGCATCTGCTTACTTTAGTGTGGAGGTCTTTGTTGGATATCAATTTCAACCCTTCATCTCCCCATAGTTTTATGCGTTATAGGGAAAAAGTGTCTTTTCTCCATAGCTTACAAGAGTTCTTCAGCTTTAAAATCAAGGCATCTCCTCGTCCCTCCCATCTGGGACTTAACTTCCTTACACGTTTGTATCTTGTTCTTTTCTCTCACTCGAGGGAGGACTGAAGCACTGAAAGGGTTTCTGTGTGCTGCTTGAAGCCTGCAGATGTTTGCCCTGACCGCGTTCCAGACCCGGAGCTGCGGCTGGGGAGCGGCTCCGATCTGATCAGCCCGGCCGGAGCTCAGCAGCACCAGCACCAGCAGCAGCAGCAGCACCAGCAGCACCAGCAGCAGCACCAGCAACAGCAGCACCAGCAGCACCAGCAGCAGCACCAGCAGCAGCAGCAGCAGCAGCAGCACCAGCAGCACCAGCAGCAGCAGCAGCAGCACCAGCAGCACCAGAGCAGCAGCAGCAGCAGCAGCACCAGCACCAGCAGCACCAGCAGCACCAGCAGCACCAGCAGCAGCACCAGCACCAGCACCGGCAGCAGCAGCGCTCGGGGCTGAGCTGGCTGGGAGAGGGGCGGCTTCTCCTTGCCCTGCCCGCTGGCAGTGGCCGCTTCTCTGCGGTAAAATCCCGGTGCTGGCCTGGGGCTGCTCCCGGGGCTCGGCTGGGCCGGGCTGGGGCTGTAACAAGCAGTGAGATGAGAGCAAGGCCGGCTCCATCCGGCCCGCAGCATCCCCCTCTCCCTGCCCGGCAGCGGGGCTGGGATGGGGAAGGGGCCCAGCCCGGGCCTGTGGCAGCGCCCGCCCGGCTGTGGTACCTCACTCCTGGGCAGAAGGGGAAGAGGAAATTCCTGGGTTCCTTTGGTTTTAACAATATCTTTCACAAAGGCATATTCAGCTGCTTAGTGGTTCAACAGACTTTCAATTAGATAAAAAGCTTTTGTGTCACTTCCCTAAATTCTTCCCATGTCAAACTCTTACTCACTGTAATGCTCTCTTGCCCTCAGACATTTTAGTTTCTGTTTATAATCTTGAAAACATGACCCAGAAAATACCTGAAAAAACACTGTTCCCTCTCCTGGTAAAATATAACAGTTTCATAAAGGAGTTTAATAGGAGACAAAGACAACAAAGCAGAGGTTACAGCCGGGTGTGTCTTGGCCCTCAGCGTGGAGCACACCTGCTAGTTTGGAAACACAAATTATATAGCATTTCTATTGCATCAGCCTGGTGCATATGTAAACTTTTCCCCAACACCTGCTAGTTTGGAAACACACTTCTACAGCATTTCCACTGCATCAGCCTGGTGCATATGTAAATTTTTTCCCAAACTAGTTTACATGCCCCAAGAACTGTTTTGCATGGCTCCTCCTCGGGTCCTGCTTTTTAGAGCACACACGTTTCTTGGTTGTGGTTTTAGTCCATTTTATCATCACCTTCAGTTCTTGGGCCTGGGTCCACACTGCCTTCAGAAGATGAGTGCTGATAGTTAGCATCATATATTGCTTGGATATTATCTCAACCAAGCAAGCATTTTAACACAAGCATGTCTAGATCAGCTACCTCCAAGCTTTACTTAGCAACAGAAATAGAAACTATGTACTTTCAGCAAAGTCACATTAACACCACACTTATAGAATCCATTTTAATATAGGCAAAAGGCCAACACCATAATATATATCCATAACACAGTGTTCATTTTTTACACTTTACCTGAAATCATTGTTTTCCAGTTGATTTTGATGTCAAAACCATTCAGTGTAACTGTTCTCCATACAAGGAAACCTTCAGACATGTTGACTCTTGCTGACAGTAGAAGAGAATTTTCAGTAATTTCTGCAGTTTGCAGTAGTAGTCTTAGTGTTTGTGTGCTTCAGTAGTGTTCATCCAGCCACACTTCATGTAAAAACAGAATTGCCAAAAACCAAATATTTCAAGTTGCACCTAAAGTGTTTCTGTATTTTATGTCCCTTTGTATGTCAGAGAAGAGTTGAGCTTAACAGATGAAAATCTGCCTCTATTAAAAACAAAGAGAAATTTTACTTTTAGGGAACCCTCATTTTACCTCAGATGTCTGTGATTCGTTATTGGTTTTGCCCCCTGAATGTGAATGCAATTTTCAGCACCAGCTGGGCTTTGTTGGAAATGGTATTGGGGACCCACAAGAAAAGTTCCTCATTTCAGTGGCTGAGACCATGGTGAGGTTTTTAGCATTTCCTTCTCTCAGGTGGGATCTGATGGCCTGAGGTGGCCTTGTCTCCTCAGGGATTTCATGCCCTGAGGAAGCAAAGGCTGATGGAATGTGCTTGATCCTCTCCTGTCTAATGGGGAGGAACAGCACCCAGCAGAGCTGGAATCACCTTCTCCATTCCTGATTTCTGCTGCCAACAGATCACTGGGCTCCCTCAGGGTCCAGAAGCCACTTTTCCTTTTGGATGCATGGCCTGAAGGCACCCAGGGGCTGCAGGCTGGGACTGCTTCAGAAATCCCTTTGGCTTGGAAGGATCCTTCTACCTCAGAGCTGAATGGGCTGTGCCAACCCCAGAGCGAGAGGGACTCAAGGCAACAGAATTAAAGGCTGGTGAGAGAACCCAAAGAATAGACTGTAACATGCAGAGCAGGTGAGAGAGAACCAAGGAAGATTGAAGACAGCTGAAAAGTGGAGCCAAGCAGCCACCAGCTTAAAGATTGCTTAACTAACACTTTGGGCAGGGAGTTTGAACTGTATCAATTATTGATGTAATTGTCCTGTTTTAATAGATGAGAATCACAAGCATTTTTTGAGGGGTAGTACACAGGAAACTATCAGATGTATTGGGGCAGTTTTCTTAAGGTCCAACAAGCAGAGTGAATCAAGAAATAGAGGACAAGACCAGGTTGGCCGCTGTGTTCACCACCGAGAAGATTCCATAGCCCTGCTGTGGGCAGCAATCCCATAGGCATGGCAAGGTGGGGGCAAGAAAGGCACCCCAGACCTCTGTCACTGCTCAGCTGTCCTTTAATACAACAGGAACCAGAAGGCAAGACTGAGTTGGCCTCTGTACTCACCACTAAGATTCCCCTGCTATGAGTAGCAGCCACGTGGGCACGGTAGATGGGGTCAAAAAACCACACCAGACCTCAGTGATCCCATTTTGTCCATTCCAAATATGTCTGTCTAAAGAAAACCTGAGATTTTTTTCCTTCTGTTCACACTGTCCTCACCCTCATCAACAGATTCTAGTATGACTCATTAAAATTTTTTTGAGAGATTATCAGAATTGAAAATGGCAGTTAATTCTTCAAGCCAAATGAGTCAGGAAAAGAGGGATTTTTTAAATATATGAATATTGTGATGGTTGGCTCTCACAATTAAGAGACAGATATTATGTGTACATGAGGAGAAGTTTTGTAGATGTAGAGTGCTGTCACTGCAATATGTCCCCCCACAGTCCCCTTGTCCTCCCTCTTGCAGCAGCCTCAGTTCCCAGGGCATTTGGGGAGGGCCGGCTCATTACCAGGAGGGGCCACAGGACAACACCTGAGCTCCAGTCAAGGTGTGAGGAAGTGATCTCACTTGTGGAGGGCAGAGAAGGAGCTGACTGACAAAACTCTGGGAGGGGCTGAGGGTATAAAAGGCAGAGCATCCATTTTGTAAATGAGCACATGGCCCCCAGAGCTGTAATTTTTCCTTATTTAGTCTGTTGTGTTTTTTTAAGGTTAAAAAAACCTTTAAAATTTCAAAAGTGAGGGTGGTTTCTTACATCTTCCAAGGACAATCCAGAAGCGTCACCTTCAGGCCAGTTTGTGATGATTTCCCATTTGAGCTTGCTGTATAATGTTATAAATAACAAATATAGGTATTGGCGTTCTCATTTATGTACTAACTTTTGTTTTGCAAGTCATTATGGATCACAAAAATCCTGATACAGTACAATTTGTAATTACTGCTTTTGATACAGTATAATCTGTCAGTTTATCTATGCACCCTATAGCTTCTATAAATAGAGGTGTAATGTATTCTATCTTAGACCATAGCTTAATAGAGACTGTGAAATGCTGAAAAATAAAATATATTCGTTTAATCGAGAAGATGGAGCAAAGACAAGTCAAAGGTTCAAACCAAGCAAAAGAACATGTTAACTCAAATGAATGTTTGAATATGTATGAACTACTATAAATATGTATAAAGGTCTATAATATAACAGTATATATGTGACAGTGTTTGCAGGGGTCCGAGGATGAGGGAAGAGAGGAGGATCTGACTCCATGTTTCAAAAGGCTTGATTTATTATTTGATGATATATATTATATTAAAACTATACTAAGAGAATAGAAGAAAGGATTTCATCAGAAGGCTAGCAAAGAACAGAAGAAGAAAGAATTAATTAGGAAGGCTTGCATCACAGACAGAGTCCAAGCCAGCTGACTGTGATTGGCCATTAATTAGAAACAACCACATGAGACCAATCCTGAGGCTTCTCTGATTCTCAGAAGAAAAAATCCTAAGGAAAGGATTTTTCATAAAAGGTGTCTGTGACGTATATACAGAAGACAGGTTAAGTTAAATGTGTGCACAGACAAGCACCCAAATGTGGGATTTTATCCCTTAACAAATGTACATAAAAATTTTCAAGAGAGAGCCATGTTACCCACAAATGAGGGCAATGCACTCCCTGCAGGCAGCATCCGTGGCAGGATGGATTGCAGAGACTTTTCCTTTGCAGCCCCAGCCCAGCGCTGGCACTGGGCATGCAGAGGCACTGGGGTGACCCTGAGAGGAAGTGCCAGGCACAGGGCGCAGCTGAGGAAGGACAGCGCTGTGCTGGGCTCAGAGGTGAAGCTGGCACTGCCCAGCGTGGAGAAGGTCCTTTGTGCAGCCCCTGTTACAGGGGAGCTTGGGCCATGCTGCAGACATACGGCCGCTCACTGGAGCAGTTGTCACTCTTGAATCTCTCATCAGCCAGGTACACACACTCGGAATTGCCAAAGACAGGAACCCTGCAGGGAGGAGCAGAGTCAGCGCTGGTTTCCCAGTGCCTTAAGTTGGAAACAGGGTTTTTTTATTCCCATCTGTTAGAGGACAAGCAGTTATCTTCTGTTAATTGGGCAGTTTTCTTTATCTCTTCCATAATCAATCCTCCCTCCAGGAAATATATTCTGTTAATGGGCAAGTGAATGTTGCTGCATGGCTGATAAAATTCTATCATCCCATTGTGAGATGCTCCGCCCAGGAGGAGGAGCCAAGCATTCCTGCCTGAATACAATCTGAGGTTTGGAACACCACAGCAGCCTTTTCCACTGAATTCCAAAAGGAAGACCAGGCCCATCTACACCATGACCGGACATTCTGAGGGAAACTCCAACCTTCTACAGGATCACAGCTCCAACACAACCACACCTGTTACTGCAGGAGAGCTGCAGCCATCACTGAATGGGACTGCTACCAACACCCAGACCCACAGGGTGTCAGGGCATATTCGGACCCAGCCAGTAGGGGTTTTTTTGTTTCGATGACTACATTTGTATTTTTAGTTCTCCTAGTCAAGAAGTGTTTTTCCTACTCCCATATCTTTGCTGGAGAGCCTTTCCATTTCAAAATTATAATAATTCAGAGGGTGGGGGGTTTGCATTTTCGATTTCAGGGAAGGCTCTTATCAGACACGTGTCTTGCCAAACCAAGATGCCAGGAGAACCCCTTGTGCCCCTGTGGCCCCAGGCCCTGCCCGGCTCCCCGGCACTCACCGGGAGCTGTAGCTGCTGCCGTCCCCCCAGTGCAGGCGCTCGCCCCGTCTGCGCAGCCCGAGCCAGAAATCGACGTTCCCGCGGAGGCGGAAGAGCAAATCCTGCCCAGGAGAGAGGAGTGGGAGCTGCCCCGGCCCCTTGGGGCGACACGGGCCCGGGGCTGCCCCTGCACGCCGGGGCTCCTTCCCTGCAAGGCTCCGGCCCAGGGCTGCAGCCCCGGCCCTGCGAGCACCGAGCCCGGCCCACGAGCGCCCCCAGGCTGCCCTCAGCCACCCCACACCGCCCGCAGCCCCTCACTCACCATGGCCTCCTCATCCTGGGCAATGGCCAGGGAGGCATTGAGCTCGGAGCACCGTTCCTGACCCTGCTCCCACGTGCTGTAATCCCGTGAGAAGTAGTAGCAGACCCCATTGTAGCCAATCCAGGCATGGGGACAGCACAGAACCAACAGTGGTGTCGCAGGTGTGACTGGAACCTGTGGTGCTGCAGGGGGAAGAGGAGAAGCTCTGAGGATTCCCCTGTGCAGGGAGCAGGGAGCCCGCTCTGCCCCGAGGGGCTGGGCCCAGGCTGCTGCCCCTCCCTTACCTGCCAGCACAGCCAAGGCCGCCCCCAAAGCCAGCACCAGCACCAGGAGCAGCAGAATCAGCACCGCCGTGCCCACAGGATGGGACCTGAACCATTCACCTGGAGCAGGAAAGAGCTGCTGGCTGCCAGAAGCAGAGCCAGCCCTGCAATCTGCTCAGCCCATGGCCAGGGAGCAGAGCAGGGAGCCCTGAGGCAGTGTGGGCCTTCCTCAGCTGGCAGCCAGAGAGCCAAGAGCCTGGCCACAGGCAGGGACACAGCTGTGGGCACAGGCAGGGACACAGCTGTGGGCACAGGCTGCAGCAGGAGAACTGCACAGCCTTGGGGGCAGCTGGGGCTCTTGCTTCCAGCCACGGATGGGGCCCAGCAGAGCACGAGGCCTCTTCCAGACATCGGGAAAGAGCCACACACCTGCCAGCCCTGGCCTTGGGAGGGGACACGGGGTGGCTCTGCACTCACCCAGGAATCTTCTGCGTCTATTCCCTGTTGCTGATCTGTTCTTCAGGGGCTCCTTCACAGCTCCAGAAATGGAGCAGAGTTCATTCTCCTCCTGCTCACAGCCAGTATCTCTCTGCGTGGAATAAACGGCATCTTGCTCTCTAGACATCAGGAGTGCTGGCAAAGCCTTTGGGAGCTCGGCCTGGGGAACAGCTTTCCAGGCGCGCTGATGGCACCCTGAAAGGGACACGGTGAGAGGTCGCTGCTGGTGCCGGCCGTGCGGGGGCTCAGGAGGGCGGGGGCAGCTGTGGCTGCGCCGTCGCCGCTGCCCAGAGGTGCGGCAGCAGGTGCGGAGACAAGCGCAGCCCCCGGGAGCTCTGCGGTGGCCGCAGCCGCGGCCCCTGTGGCTCTGCAGCCGCTGCAGCCCAGCTCCGTGCCGGGCCGGGCGCTGAGAGCGCCTGCGAGCTGCCGGCTGCTGCTGGCCCGGGGCAGCTGCGGCTCGGAGTCCGCCTGCCGAGGGGCGAGAAGCAGCAGCCCCGGGCTGCTCACCATTGTGCCCCGCATGATTCCCTGCCCCGGCGCCTCGGAGCCCGGGCACAGCGAGCGCCGCCACGGCCGCTGCGGCTCCTGCCTGGGCACACGGAGCGGCTCCCGGCACAGAGCGCAGCGCCGAGAAGCCTCGGCCCCGGAGCAGGCTGCATGCGCCGCTTTGTGCCCGCACTCGGCGCCTGCAGCGCTTTGGGCTCTGAGGCACTGGGTTCAAGTTCATGCCGTGCCAGCCCCGAGCCGGGCACGGACACCTCCCGCCCGAGCAGCGGCCCCGAGCCCGGTGCCGCACGGCCGGGAACGGTGCCGGGCACGGAGCAGCCGCCTCCGTCCTAGCGAGAGCAGCCGCGATGAGCCATCGCTGCCGCGGCACGGGCTCCATCCCGGCCATCCGGGCACGGAGGAGAGCGCGGGCAGCCGCTCCCTCGGCTGCCATCCCAGCGCAGGGGGCACACGGGGGAAGCCGGCACCAGGAACTCGCTTGAACCCCCCCGGCCCTCACCGCGGCCCCTCCGCCCGCAGCGAGCCCCGAGCTGGGGCAGCACCGACCGCGGTCCCACCTGGGCTGGGGCCGCTTCCGAGCTCCGCCGCCGGGGCTCCGCTCCCGGCCAGATACAGCGGGCACGGCGGTTCCCATCAGGGTGCAGCCGATTTGATCAATCAAATGCGGAAACGTGGCCGATCGTGGTGCGGCCGTTTTGCTCCCCGACCCCGCCACGGCCGCTCTCCCCGGCGCTCCCCGCTACCTTCTCTGGTATCGGTTCCTTCACCGTTCTGGCACATCGCAGCGCACGTCATTGTCACCCCGGGCATGTGCCATCCCCTTGGCATCTGAACCCGAGTCCCTTTGGCCCGGCTGAGGGCAGTGCAAACCCCCGGCGATGGCGGCAGGCGCGGGGCTGCCCCGCCTCACCCCGAGCCCCGGGCGGGCCCCAGCTCGGCTCTCCCCGCTCGGCTTTTCCCTCGCTGCCGCCGGGACTTTCTTATTGGTTGGTGGAGACATAGCTGTGATCTTGTTGATGACATTTGTAGGAATTGACGCTGTTTATCTTGCTATTTTACTTCTATGAACTGAATCTCACGAGTTGGTCTTTTTACTTTGCTCTTTTTGATGGCAAAACCAGCTTTCAGGAGGATTTGGATGATTTTTTTTTCCTCAAACACTTCTGCTGCTGTTTTTTTACACAATGATGTCATCAATATATTGCAGATGTCCTGGAGCCTCTCCCCTTTCTAGCGCAGTCTGGATCAGTCCATGGCAGATGGTGGGGCTGTGCTTCCACCCCTGGGGCAGTCGGTTCCAGGTGTACTGCACGCCTCTCCAGGTGAAAGCAAACTGAGGCCTGCATTCTGCTGCCAGAGGAATGGAGAAAAATGCATTGGCAATGCCAACAGTGGTGTACAACCTTGCTGCCTTGGACTCTAGCTGGTACTGGAGCTCTAATATGTCTGGCACGGCAGCACTCAGTGGTGGAGTCACTTCATTCAATGCACGGTAGTCCACAGTCAATCTCCATTCTCCTTCAGATTTTCACACAGGCCAAATGCGGCTGTTGAAGGGTGAGTGGGTCTTGCTGACCACTCCTTGGCTCTCCAGCTCTCGGATCATCGTATGGATGGGGATCACAGCATCTCGAGTGGTTCTATACTGTCGGCAGTGCACTGTGGAAGTGGCAATTGGTACCTGTTGCTCTTCCCCCTTCAGAAGTCCTACTGTAGATGGATTCTTGGACAGTCCAGGCAAGATGCTTAATTGCTGGATGCTTTCTGTCATTACAACCACTATCTCAAATGCCTACCTGATTTTTTGGGGGGGGGTTTTGAAGTACCTACTTTGGAGGTAATTTATGTTCAAAATATATGGGGCTTCTGGGCTAGTTATAATAGGGTGTTTCTTCTATTCATTTTTAGTCAGGCTCACATCAGCTTTTACTAAAATGAAATCTTGTGATTTCCTTGTCACACCAGCAATATAAATAGATTTTGTCTTCACATGTTTTGAAGGGATTAATGTGCACTGCACCAGTATCAACTGAAGTTTTATAGTTTTGTGGTTCATATGTGACAGATAAACAAATTTACACAGTTTTTTTAGCCTTTTCTTGGCCAGAGGCAGGGCCCCTCTAAGCCTGGTTATTCTACTTTTTTTTTGACATATGTCCTGGAGATTCTTTTAAGGGGATCGGACATGTCATCGTCATCATCATACCTGGCAGTTTGGCTATGGGCAAGTGGAGCTGCTTTCCTTTTGGTGGAATTTTCTTTTTGAGCCTTGCTTTCCTTCAATTCACGCACCCATTGGGCCAGAGCAGCAGTAGATTTTCCATCTTATTTCTTCATGTTTTCTCTGCAATCACACAGGAAGAACCCCAGCTCAGCTCATGGGGTGTACTTTCTCTCCCTGGTTGGGGAAATTTTGCGTTGGATACTAGAACTTCTGATTTGTATTGTTGAGATTTGGAGAAAGTTTTCTTTAATTTTTTCTTTGATCTTCTTATGATTCTCTTCTATCTTGTCTTCTAATTTCTGCAGACATGTTTCTGCTGTCGCGATTTTGGCACGTGTTGGGCCATGTACAGCATCTGCATACGCTCGGAGCTTCTTGGCTATATTAAGCATGGTCTTGTTTTTGTCATTCTGCTTTATTATGGCTAAAGCAGAACCATATTTGTGTGGCCAAAGTCGTACAAGTTATCATTACATTACAGATGTGTATGGTATTAAGTCTGGATTTTTAGTTGTTATGTCATTTGAGAAGATAATTTCTGCTACTGCCATTCCTTTCAGGTGTTAGATTTTTTGTTTTATTGTCTTTTATTGGGTTTGCTGCATATAGAGATCATCTGCACACAGGTATCCTTGTGCTACACTTCTTAGGACCCGTTCCCAGAGGCTGTGAGGATTAGCCCTCCTCATCATCCCTTGGTCTATGACAGGATCCTGTGACAGGGATCCCAAATGCCTGGCTTCAGTGCCATCCAGAATTGTAGCCTCGCCTGCAGCATCCCAGAGACGGACTAACCAACTAATTCATCAGGTCATCTAGTGTATTCCTTCCTTAGGCCATGATGGCTTTTTAGGGGAAAGGACTCAATATTGGCTTTTGATTTTGTGCTTGTTGCTTGATTCTATGTCAGGAAGCTTTGAGGGCCCTTCTCCTTCATCATCATCATCATCATCATCATCATCCACTGGTCCATCAGTCTTGTCCATGCACTTTCCACTTCTCATGCTGGTAGCAACAGCCATTGGTTGAGGTTTATTGTCTGGTTTAACTGCTGGCTTTGAGCTTGGGGTGTTTGCTGTAGCCTGAGTAACTGGGATAGCTGTTGACTTATCTCCCTGCTCCCCTGCCTTTGTCTGCTGCCCTAGAATGTCTAGCAGTGTGCAATAAGCATATACCAGGGCTTAGCTTACTGTAATGATTTTTTTCTCTTTAGGGTTTTATGGTACTTCTCTTTCAGGTATTTCCCCACCTCAGCGAGGTTTTGAATTTGTTTATGTGGAAAATCTCAGACTATAGGGTCAGAGAATTCTTTTAGTATTTATCTTGTATTTTTTCATTTCTTACACCACTCAGGTTTTTTTATGCCTGGGTCTACTTTTGGGTCAGGGGTCTCATCAGCCTGTCTAGAAATTTCAGCCCTTATTCTAGAGAAGCTGCAGACTGTATAGAGGAAGCTTATCAGATTAAATACCAGAAAGATGGTTTCTTTAACGTTCAGGGGAAACGGAACATTTTCTAATAGGGAGGTAACAGATTCAGAGGAGAAGAAGGAAAGCAAAGACTGAAAAGCCTCATCCCCTGCTCCTCCTCTAACAAACTGGGTGCATAACTATGACTATGAATTATTCATATTTGGAACAGACTTCAGCACATTTATAAACTTCTTACAAATCATTACCACCAAGCCCAGCAGGAGAGCTCTTCTGGTCACTGCTTTTCTGCTGTAAAAACTACATATTAGGGCTAATACTAGAACTATTTTTGGATAAGAAAATAATCTCAGGGACTATAGAGGTATTAAGATCTCCAAAAACCTAGGGACCAGAAATGCATGCAAGCTTTCACTTTAAGAGACATTATGAATTTAAAAAACATGGCTATTAACTGCTTTATACTAATACAGAGTAATGACAACTAAAATGAAGTCAGACCAGGGATTTTTCTACTTTCTCTCAAGCCCCACGTGTTGGGCTCCAAATTTTGTCCTGGTTTGGGGCAAATTTGGGAGAAAACCTCCAAAAGAGAGCCCCCCCAGAAAGCAAACCCAACTGATTTGGGAAGGATTCCCTGGAGAGAAGTGGAAAGAACCTGTTTATTTAACAGGCACGGCATCCCCCAGCACACAAAATGAACAATACCAGATGACACCACTCTTTCACTGCTCTGAAAAAGATGACAAATTCAGAAAGTCTCTCTGGGGGGTGGTCGCTCTGTTATCAGTCCTTCCGGCCCTGGGGCAGCTGCTGCAGCCACAAGGTGCAAACCCTCGGTGTTCCCAGGTCCCAGTCCAGAGCAGGTTCTAGTGGTTCCAAGAAAGAGAAAGAAAAACAGTCCAGGGAAAATTTGGACTGCTTAGATAAACTAACTAACGAGCAGAACCAAAAGCAAGAGAAAAGCAGGAGCAAGAGCAAAGCCAAAAGCAAAGCCAAAAGCAAAAGCAGCACTAA